GGAAAGAGGTGAACGTTCACTGAAAACTTGTTTGGAGACACTCTTCCACGAACCCTGACTTGCCCTGAGGTAGCAGGGCGACCATGAGAAAGAACTAAAGAAAAGTATGGCACTCACAATGGATTCCAAAAAGTCACTAGTTCTTGGGACTCCTTAGTCAGCATCAAAGTCGGTAGCCTTGCAAGCCCGTCCTGAATGTACAGCTTAGCTGCTTTAATGCTGTTCCATCGTCCCTGATCTAATGCCGCATCGTATGAAAGTGTGTCTTGGAATAAGGCGGTTGCACCGCCCCTTCGTAAGCTGTATGGACGAAAGCCCATATGATGAACCTTGAAAGCTCTGCAATAGGATCTAAACCGTTCACGAAACGCAGAACTGGTCCCCCGCCAAATAGGAACATGAAGAAGGGAATTTTCACGGAGGTATTCCTGGAGGGTGTCCAAGACCATCAAAGTCCACTCGTTCTTGAGTGTCACCACTTCAGAGATTCCTTTGGCGTTGGAGGTCTTAGTGTCTGCCAGTCGGACCAGTCCAATGTCGTTACGAATGAGAAAGTCTGCTCCAGTTAGTGCTAAAAGCTCACCTGTCCTGAGAAGTCCATCAAAGCCTGTTAGGAGGAGTGCCCCGAAAACTAAGTCTCCCCGAGCAATGGCTTTGCCTGCGAAAGCCTGAAGCAGCTCCCGTGGAAGAGGCGGCGCCCGACACGGCACCTCTAGACGCCGCCAAATTCGGAAGATCCTCCAAGTCTGAGGTAATTTGCCCTTGCTCCACGGCATAAAGAAGTGTAGTCCACAGAGCCCTGCCGATGCATGGTACAACGGACGCCCTGTGCGCCACATGTCCTCGAGATGCTCAGAGAGGAGTTCATCAAGCTCGTGCTCATCATGTGCTTGACGGATGATGGGGAGCAGCTTTCGAGCATACTTATAGTATTGTTGGAGTGTCTTTGGCTTGACCAATGAATCCTTCAAGACTATCCCGCGGCGTTCTCGGGCCCGCTCGGCGGTTGACCGGCGGCCCAGAATCCATTTACGCGCGCGAGGCATGGTCAGTGGGATTCTCCGTAGATTCTACATGTCCTATTATCAAATACAGGTTAAAGGCCATGAGGTGGGCGTTGAGTTGCTGCAACACATGGTGAAGTTTTCGTGACCCGGACCTACCTTTTCCAATAACACTCATTGAAACATAGGAATCCGTGACATGGAAGATTCGAGCATCTACAGCGGATCGACGTCGAACGTGGTGTACAATCGACAGGAGGATGGCGCGGAGTTCCAATGGGTTTATGTGGTCTTCATGCTTCCATCGGAGGTTGAACACCGGTCGCCAATTCCACCATGACGCTTCCACTCCCTGGCGAGGAAACGCCTTTGGATTGAGCACATCTCCCGTGGCTATTCGAATGTCCGATCCTGTGTGGTTGACCTTCGTTAGTAGAATCCTATTCAAATCTTGGGGAGTGTATGTTCGAGCCAAAGCTTGATCTCGAAATCCGTACTGCAAGAACCTTCCCAAAGGGGCTTGGCTCCTTAAAGGTGCTCTGAACCCTGGTGCGATGCCCATTCGCCTAGCGATCCACGAATACGGAAGGCGGGGCAGGAATCGCTGGCAAAGAGCTGCCCCCGGAATAACAAAAGAATAAACCAAGAAACTGTCTCCGAGCATCGACTGTCTGATGTCCTCGACTGTCCGGGCCCCTGCCTCTTTCTGCTTCGACGCGGAAAGGCACAGCTTGGTGTGGCCGAAGCCGTACCCAAGAAGAAGTTCACGCTCTTCTGAACTGGCAACCCGCCAGTGATCACCTTGCCAAAATAAGTATTCAGGGGAATATTGGTATGGAGGAAACCTGTACTCCTCCGAAGTCCACCTCTGTATCGTGTCAGGCGAACACCTACGAATGCCTGCAGGTTTCAAGGGCGGACGATCTCTTGGGATCGACTTCATGCATGTAGGTAGTGGTGTTTGCGTTTCTTCCCCCATCCACTGCCAGTCGGGGGTCACCCACTGGCTCGGAGTGGGGTACTCCGCGACTGCCCAGATACGCTTCCAGTAGCTACACTCCGACACCTCCAAGTCAGTGAAAGCTGCCTCTAAGGGCTCAGAGCACCAAGTGAAACGGGGTCGTCTCATTGGGACTGAATCAACACTGTCCAGTTCATAAGGGGTTACTCCAAAAAGTTCAGAGATCTGTTCAGCAGCGCTCCTGTCCATCGATGACACGTTTTCGATGACCTTCTTGTAAAGAACACCTGAACCAAACTGTGCCTTGACCAGAGCCTCTATGCGTGGAATTTCATAGACTAAGGAGGAAGAGGGTCCTAACAATCCCTGTCTATTGGCACGTACCCTTGACAAGTCCACGCACGGAAAACCAGCCCATATGTGGACCTCCTCTGTCATCGGATATTCCAAGTGCCACTGCTTGACAAGAGCGGCGTCAACCAGCCGGACATCCGGCACGGTTTTGGACTGCGGCCATCTTCGTTCTACGATGCGGATGGCAGGCTTGTGAAGCTCCACCGCAATCATCCCGAGAGGCCGAATGTCCAAGACGTCGTAAACTCGAAAGCAGCCCCCAATACCGTTGAACAAGGAAATGACCAATATAGGAACCGTACCGATGTTACCACTCCTGACCTGTGAACTTAAAACGAAGTCTTTACCTTCCAAGCTAAGTTCAGGCCCAATGCCAACTGCACCTCCCTTCATAGACGCATCTGATGCCGTGGTACAATCGTCGATCGATGCTCCGAGGAAAGTGTGCATTAGCGGAGTTACCAAAGTCAATTTCCAAAGTTCTTGTCGGGTGCCGAGAACCACGGCAGGTGTTGGATGTGGGGTGGATATGAATTTCCAAACCTGAGTAAGAAGCCCCATGAGCGGTCGCCTGAATTGGAGCACATGAACCCATCGTCCTATGACGATTTGCACGGCTTTCTTGTTCAAGAACCGGCAACTCAACAGGTACAGGGTAGCATGAACCAACCTGATGAAACGCTCCCCCGATGCAGAAATCGTGTGACGATCACCATCTATCCATGCCCCTAACTCCTGTGCAGTCGAAGCTCCCGACACTCTCTTCTTGGCCGAGGACACCAGCCCAGTGCGAGCCCACACGTCCTCGACAAGATTGTGAAGGTCTTGACCCTTTTGAAAGTCTGCATCACCTTGAACCCGTTGACCCGAGCAGAAATTGTCCAAGTACACGTGCCACCATGGTCTGTCACGGGCGTGACTTTCATGGAGGCAGCCGGTGAGGAACAAAGGGAGTGAAGAACCACGTGTGACCTGCGACTCTTCCTCAGCTCCACCCAGGTATGCTACCTGCTCGGCTACTTCCTGCATCAAGGCCACCGAACTTATCCACCCCATAGGGATAACCCTACAGGCAAGTACATGCATGCTAGGGTCCTCCAATCCCAACTCAGTTCCGGGTACCTTGACATTAAAGGCCAAAAACCTTGTCCATTGTTGAGGAAGCCGGAATAAGTAGAATGCAGCAGAAAGATCACTTTGAAAGAGTCGCAACCGATCGTCCGCCTCTGTCGAAATCCCTAACCACGAGGTTATCGATGGAAGATGACGAACACACCCGGCAATTGGTTCCATGACCGAATTGATTGGTACCAAGTTCATGATCAGGCGCAGGACGCTTCGCCCGTCGTCCAACTTGGTGGGTTTCTCAACTCCGAAAAGTCCCGACAGAACAGGTTGATCGCGATATTTATAAACAGCTTCAAGCGGGATCCAGGTACAAATCTGTCGTTTTACCAACTCCGAACAAAGAGGAAGAAGCTCACCAGGGGAACAATGCACTCTAGCCTGAAGCGAGGGGAGTTCTTGACCAACATCCTTGGTGATGAGGTTTTCTGGATGGAGCAACAGCCGTTGTGTCCCGGGAGATAACAATGTCATGACATCAACTGATGCACCATGGGAACCAGGGGGAAGAGCCGGAACCACCTGGTCCAGCGTCAACTTGTGACATGTCCCCATTTCTTCCCCCGTGTACGAAATGCGAATGCCTTTTAACTCACCTCGGATCTCGTCTGGGCTTCGTGAAGAGCGACCTCCTAAACCAAGGAATCGCTCCACAGCCGCACGTGAGGCGGCCGCGGCACGGGCTTGCAACTTGTTCGTCGAGCCCCTCGCCTGCGGCTGGAGTTTACCACCAATGGCGTTGAGTCCCACCCCAACGCAAAACTGCCAGGCATCTGCTTGCCAGCGTTCCACGAAGTGTGGTGTCACAACATCTGCCAATGAGGCTGTTCTCAAAGCGTCCTCACAGGCGTCAAGCGCGCCCAAGGGCAATGGAAAGATCGCCCCTCGAGATGAAGCGATCTGTGGCCTGCAGCAGCGTTCATACACTGTTCTGATGACCATCTTATCGAACTCAAAGTCTGTACATGTTGAAATCCTCGCAAGCAGCCAACCAAGCGCGCAACCCAGTTCACCTAGAGTCGCTGTCTGCTGTAGCACCTGGCTGAACACCTCAAGGCCTGCATGCAACAATGGTGCTTCTCCCCCCTGGTCAGGCTCGGCCATTGCCAGCCCGTCATAGTCCTGAGACATCTCTACTTCTCTCCTGGCTTCTCCGCGGCTTCCTTGTCCTTGTCCTTCTTTGCTTTGCCTTTCTTCTGTGATTTCCCTTTTCCTTTTGGTTGCCACCACGTCGATTCTTGATCTCCCTCGTAGTGGGACCATTGCAGTCCTTCCTTGCCTCTTCCTCTTCCTTTGTCGGATCGCCAGCTCTGGGTAATGTACTGAGCCCGGCTCACCTGCCTCCCGTGCTTCCTCGCCGCCAAGAGGACTCCATCGCTGAGAGCCGTCCCTTCCGGCATGGGCATCACTTCCAAATGCCTGGCCGATGTCCAGGATGCATCCAGCAGAGATTGATGGATTGCCACCAACCTTCCGGCCAGCACGTCCCCGAGTCGGGCCAGCTGGCCTTGGCGCAGCAAGTCGATGCTCGTGGCCAGGTTGTGCATCTCCCTCAGCTCCTTCTGTTTGTGGGCGAAGTGAGGTCGGATGGCGAGGGCGAGGTATGACACTACCTTTACACCTGAGGTCAGATCTCCTCTTCCTGAAGCGGGGACGTCGAGCTCGGCTGACTGTTGTAGTTGGTCGGCTATGTGCTCTAGCAGGAGGTTGAGTACCGACCCGGGACGCTTCTGTGAGCGCTTCCTCAACGGCGCTTCCAGCTCCGCGTCCTCGTCGGTTGATGGTTCCTCCTCCGAGTCGCTGTTGGAGTCGGACGAGCAGTTCACCGTCCTCCCATCGGAAAGGGTCTTCGTCTTGCGATCCTTGTGCTTCTTCTCCTTCTTCTTCTTTTTCTTTTTCCTCTTTTTCTTCTTGCCATCCTTCTTGCCCTTCCCATCGTCTTTGCGACGACGAGACTCCTTGGATCGTTTCTTTGAAGGGCTCCTCGATCGCTTCTTCTTGGCCTGCTGCACGGCGTCCTTGCGGCTGATCTCGGCGGTGCCGGCCGCTCTCTGGATCAGCTGTGTGTGAAAGTCTCCTGTAGTAACATCTTTTATAGCTCTGGTTGTGGTAGGCGTTGTCTTGCTCTTCATCAGTGTCCCCGCTGTCAGAGCTTCCGGAGCCACTGCAGAGTCTGTAGCCCCTGAGCCTGTGGAACCGCTCGAGGCCGACTCGGAGCCCTCCTCCTCTCCCGAATCCTCTCCTCCAGGACTGGGATCTGGGGGGGCCGCCAGCGGCTATCTTTTGTTTGGACCGCTTCAACTCTTCTCGCAACTTCTCCACCTTTGCAGGATCGAGCGCACTCTTGGCTCCACCTCCACTGCCAACGCCCTTGCCGGTTGACGTTGACGCAACCTGAGGAGCCTTTGGCTTTGCCGGCTTTGGCTTTGGGGCCTTCTTGGAGAACGCCTCTGCCTGAGTCGCAGTGTCTTTCGAAGCGGCCCTGGGGCGACGAAGAACGCCAGGCCTCCCTGGGACCTTGGCAGGATCGGGGTCCGGGATGGTCTCCCTGCCCTTCTCTCCTTCTCCTGTCTCCATGGGCTCCTCGTCCTCGATGAGTTCGTCTCCCAGTGTAGGGCCATCCAACCACTTGCGAGCCGTTCGAATGGCCCGGCCTGAGAGCCAGCCTTCCGCCCCGGCCAACGTGTGCCAAATGAACCTCGTCACATGCAGGCAACCAGCCTCTTGTTCGAGGCACGGTATGGACCCGCAAAGATGCAAGCGGCCTGTCCTCCTGTTGAAGCGACTCGACAGTTCCTTGTTGACCTCTGGATTGTCGGTGCCAAGGAACTTTGCCTCGATGGACAGGGTCCCCAATTGCCTGAGTAGTTCGACGGACATAACCAGGAAGGGTGTCCATACCTCGGTGCGAGGCGCATAGTCTGTTGAAGCCAGGTCGATGAATAGTATGTCTCCTTTGAGCGGTGAGATCAAACACCATTGTTCCAAATCTTTCAAATTGAATTCTTCTCCTTCTTGGTGAGGTCTGCCAGTCATGGCAGGCGGCTCAAGCTGTCCTGGCCCTTGTCAACTGATAAGGTGTCCAGGTAGTGATTCGAAAGCTTCTGATGAACTGGAATGGTAGGGTCTTGTTCAAGCCGTCCCAAACGCTGATGTTTGCGTCCAGCTCGATGTCGAGGTTTGTGAGTCCTCTGACTGCTTGTATGGCCTCCTGGCCGATGATGCTTCTCTGCCTTTGCTCGTCGATCTCCACGTCCTTCTCCCTGTTGGCGAACGTGAGGTGGCGGGCCGTCAGGCTCGGGTGGACGGCGTCTGTCTCTCCCAGCCAACGGTGCCACAGTGCGTTCCGGTACCTCTTCTTCGCTTTCCTCTTCAAATTCACCAGTCTCGGAGTCTTCCTCCTTCGGCTGATCAGGAAGGCGTTTGGCCACTGCACCTAGGTTCTTGGAGTCCACACTGTCGAGCTTGCGACGCTTGAGCTCAGGCCGTTCGCCAGCTCGTGCAGCGTCTCCTTCTTCACACTTGCGGCCGGAAGCCTGGGAAGCGAGGGCGTTGGAGCGGACGGCCTGTCCGAAGTTCCTCAAAGCCCTCACTTGGCGGACGCAGGAGATCACAAGATCTTCCACCAGCTTCCGCGACCCTGGTGGCCAGCTGTTGGCCAGCTCCCGGCCGAGGGCCTCGTGCCCTGAGCACGCGAGGCACCAAGTGTCACCGTCTGCCGGAGCAGACTGGCGACACCGGTTACACGACCCCATGAAACCCAGCTTTTTGAGCCGAGCGGCAAACCGGGAGATTCACCTCACATGTCAAAAGACAAAATATTGGTTGTGCAAGTGTTTTAAGACTTGGCCACGGAAACACCAAAACACTTCTTTCATTTTTTCCAAATAACATTGGTGCAAAACACTTCTTGCGAGCAAAAACACTAAACTCAAGCAACTTAACAGCATACAACAGACTTTTCTGCAACAACAGACCGACCCCGTACGCATTGGAAAACAACTCCAGCTGTAGCCCGGTGTACTCTCTTTGCTAATACTGGTCATCCAATCGTGTCGATCTGTGTGTGCGGGTGTTTGTTACTCACCTGACTCCCATTGAGACGGTCCAAAGCCGCAAATGGTCAAAAACACGTCCCTCATAGAAGGTCCAAGCACCACGAGGGTCCAAGAACCGATGGAGCAATTCAAAGCCCCCCATCCAACGTTTTGACTCTAGGCTGGTCTGGACATGACCACATGAAACAACTTCAAATTTAATTCTAATTCTTGTTGCTAGTAGCTACTTGCTCCTAGTAGTACGGCCAGGAGCCCCGTCTACGAACGCGTCCGATCGCTCCTACCCCCCGAGCTGCCAGGTGACCAGTTGGACCCTTTTGGTCGCCGGTCCCACCTGTGGCGTGAGAAAGGCGCACCTGGAACAGGCGGCAGAGGCGATTTTGCCGAGTGGCAAGGGGAACAGTCAAAGACTCCCTGAAATACCAAGAGAGGTTCAGTGACCTTATGTGACCGTAAATCGGACCCTACTGGGGATTACTGGGGTACCTATTGGACAGTCTACAGGGTCCTTCAACCTTTGTTGGTGAAGTGGAGTTCACCACCTGGGTGACGTTCGGATGACTCATGGCAATCTGTAAAAAAGGGGGCATACATGGGCATGTCATCCACTTCCACTACTATTTCAGAAGTGTATTGAATCAATACTATGTAATATGCAACAATACATGTGATCATTCCTCATCCAACAACCATCACGGTGGAGGTTTAGGTGCCTGAGGGTAAAGAACAGGGGTGGAGGGCCTTGATTTGAAGGAGACTAAGGAAACAAGCATTACATAATGTCACCTCCCCCAAGTGGTCAAATCCACTCATCAGTGAGGCTCAAATCCATTGTTTTGGCCCTTTGAAGGAGCATGAAAGAATCACAGAAACGACAACACCCAATGCTCTATAAATCATACCCCAACCCCCCCAAGCAGAGGGAGGCATGAAACGTTTAAAAAAACGACGACCCCCCTTCATTTCGTAGAGGATTCCTCCATGGCTATATAATGCTATATATACACGTACATCTTCCATTGCACCTAATCGGGCATCATTTGAGGTCTTGTTGCTACTGCGTCAGGAAGATTCCATGCTTTTTACAAACATCGGGAGAGGCTGACAACAAACGAACATCAACTTCCTTTCACCTAGGGCAGTGAGTCAAAACAAATGCCAAACCATGGCAGATGAACATGCTCATGGTCAGACTCTTCCTGTTCATGCTGCTTGAACTCCAAACTTGGAACCAAGACTGTCTTGGGCCGCCAGAGTCTGGGCGGATTTCGCGCGCCGTGTCGCCCAGACCGACAAACGACTGCCACACCTCCGCACCCCGAGACGCGACGGAACGCGCCTTGGGAGGACGGAACGTGCCTGGCGGTGGGCGTTTGGGAAGACGGAGGCGATCGGTGTGGTGTGTTGTGAAAGAGCGGTCGGTTCGGCTTCAGCTAGGGAAGGGTAGAATCGTGGAAGTGCATTTTGATTGAATCATCCTTTTTGAGCAGGACAGCACGGCCAATGATCGTTTCAGAAGCTGCTTCTCCAATGGAGTCTCATGCTGCTTCTCGTAGCTGGGAGGTTTGGTTTCTATACCCAGACACTCCATGTATGCCATATATGCCGATCAAATCACCCCCAAAACCACCCCAACTGATCGGCAGTCCTATGGCAGTCCCATTAGTCGTGCCTGGGATATACAGCAGCCATCCAAGAACTCTACAAGTCCAACGCAACTGGCGCAAAGGCTGCGCTGAGTCTCCGGACTGCAGAGACTGCGCTGTTCACGTGCCTTGCATGGAGCTATATGGAGCTCACGGAGGCTCGAAAATCTGGGGATCCACATGGATTGACCCTCAATGGAATCCAAACAGAAGAGGTTTCCAAACAGGGGGTGAACTCCACCAAACCATGATTGGAGGGAGTGGAGTTCAAATGCGTCCCTCTTTGCCTGTGATTGGCACTCTGACACACATCCCAGATCTGAGACATCTGGGTGTTCGGCCTGACCAGTAGAAAGAACGACAAGCCAGCACCTCCTTTTCTGTTCCTCTGCTGAACAAC